GCTCGCCTACGTATTGTTTCATTACGCACCTGCTAGTTAATGCCTGAATTACTGTAAAGTTATCGGTAATCAAGCACTTGAAGCAGTCTAAGTTCCTCAGATAGGAGAGGTCAAGTCTTATGGCCACACATTAGGACTGTTCTCGCGTTTATCATGAAGGCACCCTCTTTAACCCTATCCTCGTTTCTGTTGCCAAAGGTGAAGTAAGTTGGTAAATATTACTCGTGCCTTGGTGACGCGTGTATTGAGTTCGTCCGTCACACCACGAATTAAGCAACTGCCAGAGTAAAATTAACAAACTCAAGTTCCTCAATTTCAGGTTCCAAAGGGGGTACACAAGAGTGGAAAGTGCTGAAGCTGCACACCAAACGGGGGACCACTTCCGGGTAGTCTGCGCGGACTTATGGGCGTCAAATAAAAGACAGTGTCGTCTGCATTGCCAAAGTCTAACAACCTCTTTTTAGGTGTGTTTTGTCAACCAGATTCACTGTGCTTTGTAGCGCACAACCACGATGGCGTCAGTGGCAATATTGAACGCAAACAAAGAGAAGGGGATTTTGAGTAGCTCATTGCAAACACAACGGAAATAAGAATAAGAATACTCACGAAAACCTACGAAATTCCTCTCCAAAAAGTAAAAAAAACACCTGACGGGGCCAAAAAACCTCAGAGGCAGGTATCGTCCCAGCACGACATTTCAATACTTCCAACCTAAAGTGGCTACGTAGATAGTACGACTGTGTGACAGAAATCGTTTTCAGGCCTTCAATAAATTAGATTTTGCCTACAAACTGACTGAGGTCCACACAATCTGAACAAGAAGTTAGGACATTTTGATAGAACAGTAACTATGGATATTTCTCGATTTCCGTAGTCCTGGAGCGATTCGTTTGGCGATTTCATACCAGGGGAATCGGTGGACTCGAGTTTCACTCCTGTTAGAGCTCATTAGCAGTGCCCATTACTTTGGGCTTGCCGGGGTTTTAACCCTGACATACGAGGCGAGTATGTTATCACGGTTTTAGCGGGGAATCATGTTCAAATCTGAGTACAGTACAGGAATTGCCATATTTGTTTAAAAAGAAATTCTCGTAAGCTACCAAATTGCAGCTTTAAAGCGTGTGTAAATTCTGCGACAACTCCCGGTAGAGCTTCTCCCAGATAGGATGACGTCACATCGATGACTGTGTCGTTCCGCACTGATGTGTGCAGATGAACGGCAGCGGTCATCTGAAAGTATGCTGGGTTTTTCCTATTTATAAGTCTGACTGAAACTTTTCAACACCTCTGGGTTCTCATCACTTTGCGTTCAAACTAAAAACTGTGTGATCTGATGGCTAGTTCGTCGGACAAGGAACATACCGGACCTCTACGGAACATCCGGGACACGCCACATGCTGTCCTTCACCTTACTCCATCTTATACGAAACGGATTGTTGGAATGCGCGAAGAGGAAAACCCACTCCAGTCGCTGTGTTAGAGTTTACCCTTTTTGGTAGTCCCCTTCTTTTAGAAAAAAAGATGACATCACTGACTGCTTGTTAATTACAAAGTTATTGAAGAATAAAGTAAAGAATAAAATATATTTTTTTTAGAAAAAAAGACATACTGTAAAGAATAAAATATTTTTTAGAAAAAAATGACTACTATTTGCTCACCTTTGAATTTCTTGCATTAAACTTGTTGTGGTGGACGATACCTGGCAGTCCTGCGTATCCTGAGCACTATCTTGCAACAACTTGTTCTGCACTGGCGAGAGTCGTAGGGTTCCGGTAGTGTTTCCAAGGGGATAATGTGGATTGGTGCTTGGCATGCGCCTCCTCCGGGGCATCGTCACCGCGGGGTACTGTCGTAGGTGAGAAAATGGTACCGTACCCGAAGAAGAATACAACGACAATTCGAGGAACAAGAATCCGTAGGTATAAATGTAAGGAACACGGTAACAATTGTCGTCGGGCGATGACACATGAATGGTATTGTGGTAACCACGACAACGCTAAAGTTGGGGAGCAGCACGTGGGATCTATTGGATTTTTATAATTCAAAAAGCGTTGTGTAAGATCTATCGTGTCTACCAATTTGCCGAATACTTGCTACAATCCACGTCCGGTTTTGTGCTAGTCAGGGAAATAGCTCATCAAGAAACGCTGTAAACGGTGCACACATACACACAGCAGTAGATCTGGTTAAAACACGCGGACATATTCTCTTGCCCTCTCTCTCACATGCAAGTAGCACTGATGTCTGGTTCAACGCGCTTCGTAACTCCCGTCTCCCAACCGAATGCTTCCGTTCCACGGCCCAGACAGTGCGTACGTACGCACACACACACACACATACACAGGTACGCTCGCACGCCGCACCCGTACACGCCTATCTTGCTAACATGTCAATCATCTCTAAGTGAATATGAATGAATAGGTGATGGCGGTGTGTGAACGCGTGTTGTTGTGACTGCATGGGGTACGCAGAGTAGTCGGTAGTAGAGGGGTGCGGAACAACAATTTGCGTCTTTCACCTCCCCACCTCCCCGCCTCCCTTCAGACGCTCAACCAGCATAAGCACGAGCGCAATGTCCCCGTTCCATGCTTGTCTACTCGTTCCGCCTGTGTGTACCTGTACGCACCGCGGCCCCGGCAACCAGTCTGACGGAACAACACATGTGGAGATGCATAAACGTGCACATGCGTTCTTCACAATTCGGCAGATGATTGGATGATATTGGCTTGCGCTTAGCGGAAGAGCAAGGCACTGATCCACAACACGTGTACGTGTGCGTCCGTGTTTAGAGCAGTGATTGGTTCGAACGCTTAAGTGTAGCACTTGTCTACCGGCTGTCAATCAACCTTCTAGACGGGCCCGTGCAGGCCCATGAACACGCGCACCTGAACTGACCAGCTGCTTGCTTGGTCTCATGCTTACTGCGTCACTCGGTTGTCGCCTATCTGTTGAGTATTCATTTCCTACCCTAAAACTGCTGCTCAGATGCTGTTGTCTAGGTAGACAGTAGTGCGAGTCATTGCTGTGTTTCGACCGGCTTCTTCACCAATCTCATTAAAATCAACTTTGCTGCAACGACCCTGTAAAATCGCCGATTATTGGAGGTATGTTTGCTTCATTCTGGGGATATCCTTGTCTATATTGTGCACCATCGACCTAGATTAACTCACTTACCATCGAAAGAAAGGTTTGGACACTGCGTCGAGATCCACAGTTTCGAAACATTGGATAAGGCAAACAAGTAAACTGAGAAGTGTGAATCCGAGAGGACCACTGTTTTCACGGTTCCGGAGTCTAATTTATTGATGTGTACTGGGTGCGTGCATTTACACGTGAAAGGACTGTGTTGCCACTGGTGATGATATGTACAACAGTCAGCACAAATCCACTTTCCGGTGGCTCACATTCCCAAGCACCAATTCATCTACCTTCGCAAAACAAATGAATACAAAATTGACCTTACCTACCGTCAACACTAGGATAGACTTCATAACTTAAGTTATCGGAATTTCTCAGGGCTTACATGCTAATTAGAAAAAAAAAACAGTCGACAATAGTCAGGGAAATAGCTCATCAAGAAACGCTGTAAACGGTGCACACATACACACAGCAGTAGATCTGGTTAAAACACGCGGACATATTCTCTTGCCCTCTCTCTCTCACATGCAAGTAGCACTGATGTCTGGTTCAACGCGCTTCGTAACTCCCGTCTCCCAACCGAATGCTTCCGTTCCACGGCCCAGACAGTGCGTACGTACGCACACACACACACACATACACAGGTACGCTCGCACGCCGCACCCGTACACGCCTATCTTGCTAACATGTCAATCATCTCTAAGTGAATATGAATGAATAGGTGATGGCGGTGTGTGAACGCGTGTTGTTGTGACTGCATGGGGTACGCAGAGTAGTCGGTAGTAGAGGGGTGCGGAACAACAATTTGCGTCTTTCACCTCCCCACCTCCCCGCCTCCCTTCAGACGCTCAACCAGCATAAGCACGAGCGCAATGTCCCCGTTCCATGCTTGTCTACTCGTTCCGCCTGTGTGTACCTGTACGCACCGCGGCCCCGGCAACCAGTCTGACGGAACAACACATGTGGAGATGCATAAACGTGCACATGCGTTCTTCACAATTCGGCAGATGATTGGATGATATTGGCTTGCGCTTAGCGGAAGAGCAAGGCACTGATCCACAACACGTGTACGTGTGCGTCCGTGTTTAGAGCAGTGATTGGTTCGAACGCTTAAGTGTAGCACTTGTCTACCGGCTGTCAATCAACCTTCTAGACGGGCCCGTGCAGGCCCATGAACACGCGCACCTGAACTGACCAGCTGCTTGCTTGGTCTCGTGCTTACTGCGTCACTCGGTTGTCGCCTATCTGTTGAGTATTCATTTCCTACCCTAAAACTGCTGCTCAGATGCTGTTGTCTAGGTAGACAGTAGTGCGAGTCATTGCTGTGTTTCGACCGGCTTCTTCACCAATCTCATTAAAATCAACTTTGCTGCAACGACCCTGTAAAATCGCCGATTATTGGAGGTATGTTTGCTTCATTCTGGGGATATCCTTGTCTATATTGTGCACCATCGACCTAGATTAACTCACTTACCATCGAAAGAAGGGTTTGGACACTGCGTCGAGATCCACAGTTTCGAAACATTGGATAAGGCAAACAAGTAAACTGAGAAGTGTGAATCCGAGAGGACCACTGTTTTCACGGTTCCGGAGTCTAATTTATTGATGTGTACTGGGTGCGTGCATTTACACGTGAAAGGACTGTGTTGCCACTGGTGATGATATGTACAACAGTCAGCACAAATCCACTTTCCGGTGGCTCACATTCCCAAGCACCAATTCATCTACCTTCGCAAAACAAATGAATACAAAATTGACCTTACCTACCGTCAACACTAGGATAGACTTCATAACTTAAGTTATCGGAATTTCTCAGGGCTTACATGCTAATTAGAAAAAAAACAGTCGACAAGACTGAACTGTGCAAACTGCTGTACTCTAATATAGGCTCTTGATGTGAGCTGTGTGTAAGCCGTATCCTACTTCGTCTGCGTGAACTTATTCGATGTGGAGTACAACCCATTTTTTCACCAGAATGAGCTAGACTCACCAAAATGTGTGACAGTATAACCCAATATACTCATCTGTACACAAATTTGGTTTTTTGAAACCCATAGTGGGCTATCGACGGATTTTCAGCAACCTTATGAGTAGTGCAATGCAATGTATTGCGATATCTCGAATACCGTACCAACTGAAACATGAGGCGGCCTAGTGGAGCACATTCACTTGCTTAGAAACATTATAAACGGGAGATTCAGCTGGGTTCCAGGTGGGTCGCTCGCGAAACCAAATTAGTTTCAAAATGAGTGTATTCCGCTGATTTCGTACAATTTGGTTTCAAGTAGAATATAAGGTTGACGGAAACTCGGGGGCCGTGCCTACCTGAGGCGCCCCAAGAAGTACGAAACCACTCGTAGGCTGCCGAATAATTTTCAGCAAACTTATAAGTAGTGTATTACGTTTGTGACACTGTAGTTAGGATTCAAGGCACTGTAATAAACACCGAAAATACTCAGTGAGATGCGGCGATCGAGGTGTTTATGTGATCTGCAATCTGAAGATATGCAATACCTGAAAAAGCTGAATGTAGTTCGATCAGATGCAATTGCATTGGCGGTATTTTTGTGTGTGCAGAAATTCAAGCAGAATAAATGCATAGAGCCTGTTCACAGAAGAGTAACCCCCCAAATATGCAGAATTATGTCATCTATTATGTTGGTCGCGGTTTCGCTCGGTAGCAGAATGACTCATAACGGAAATCTGCTTGATTTTCAACAGAATATTCAGACAACAGCTTCTAACTCCGAGTTCAAAGTAGCTCAGTGGTTAAGACGCGAACTTACTCACTGCGGGAACCGTGGTCTAAGTTTAGCTCCGACATCTCAACTGCTCCTGTTGTCTAGGCCTTGGCAGCCTGGCAGTATCTCGCTCCTCGTGCTTCCTTCGGACGTCTAGATACCTAACAATTACTTATTTATTTGCTTATTGACTCATTGGATGATTGATACCCTAATAGGTACAACGTTGTATATGACGAATTAGGTACTGGTTGCAGGGACCATATGGATACACAAAAAGAATGGAAGTTCTATTCTTTTACTCAAAAACTGTGTTATTTTTAGGCAGTAAAATACTAGCTGGAGTGATCCGTAGGCCGTTCAAAACAAACAAACAAGGATGCCTATACACCGAGTTCTTCAGTAATTACTGACATTTCTGTTTGATCTATCTGGGTGACAATATTGTATTCGTATGCATGCCATATGAATCATCGGTCATTAAACAGTGACTTCGACGAACAGTTCAATTTGGGTCGA